TGCCATTCTTACTGGGGTTAGGTGGTATCTCAGTGTGGTTTTGATTTGTATTTCTCTGATGATGAGTGAGGCTGAGCACTTTTTCATGTGTCTGTTGGCTGCCTGTATATCTTCTTTTGAGAAGTGTCTGTTCATGTCTTTTGCCCACTTTTTAATGGGGCTATTTATTTTTTTCCTTCCGGCGCATTTGAGTTCCTTCTACACAATATTTAATACAAGTGACAGCAAAGGGTATTCTTGCCTATTGGCCATCTTATGGGGGAACATTCAATATTTTCACTGTTAAGTGTGTGGTTAAGCGTATATTTTTTGTAGGTGCCTTTTATCAGGTGGAAGAATTTCCTTCAGTTCCTCATTTGAGAGTTTTATTCATGATTTTGTCAAATACTTTTTGTCCATTTATTGAGATAATTGGTTTTTCTCCTTTATTTAGTTAATGTGGCAAATTACATTTTATTTGTTTATTTATTTATTTTCTTTTAGAGACAGAGTCTCACTCTGTTGCCCATGCTGGAGTGCAATGGAATGATCGTGGCTCACTGCAGCCTTGACCTCCTGTGCTCAAGTGATCCTCCAACCTCAACCTCCCAAGTAGTTGGGATTGTAGGTATACACCACCATGCCTGACTAAGTTTTTTTTTTTTTTTTTTTTGTGGAGGTAGGTTCTCGTTGTGTTGCCTAGGCTAGTCTCAAACTCCTGGCCTCAAGCAATCCTTCTGCCTCAGCTTCCCTAAATGTTGAGATTTCAGGCATGAGCCACCACGGCCAAGTGGATTTTTGAATGTAAACCAACTTTACACTAGGTCATAACTTATTATCCTTCTTATATAATACTTTTTTGAATTTGCTATTTGTTTTGTCCTAGAATTTTGCATGTATGTTCATAAAAGATAATTGGTCTGTAATTTTTTGTTTTGTTTTGTATCAGGAATATGCTAGCCTCATTAAACAAGTTGGAAATTGTTACCTCTTTATCCTCTGAGTTTAGGTACTATAGGTATTATGTGTTCCTTAGATGTTTGGAATAATTCACTAGTAAAACAGACTGGGTCTGGAGTTTCCTTTATGTGAATATTTAAAATCTGCCATCTTGCTATTTGTTTCCTATGTATCTTATCTCTTCTTTGTTCCCATCTCCCTCTTTTTCTTCCATTGGATTGAATCCTTTTTTAATCCATTGTACCTCCTTTGTCAGTTTATTAGCTATAGCTTCTGTTTTGTTATTTTCTGACTGCTTTAGGGTTTATAGTATAAGTTTTTAACTTAACATAGTCTCCCTTCAAGTGGTATCATTCCATTTCATTAATAGTATAAGAGCCTTACGATAGTATACTTCTAATTTTCCTTCCTGGCCTTTATGCTGTTATTGTCATACTTTTATTCACACACATATCATAAACCTCACAATACACTGTCATTGTCTAAACAGTTGATTTTTTTTAAGATATTTAAGTAATACGAAAAGTCTTTTCTATTTACCCATGTAGCTACCATTTAAGCGCTCTTTTTTTTTTTTTGCATCAAAGTCTCACTGTCACCCAGGCTGGAGTGCAGTGGCACGCTTATGACCACCGTAGCCTCAACCTGCTGGGCTCAGGCATTTCTTCCGCCTCAGCCTTCCAAGTAGCTGGAACTACAGGCACATGCCACCATGCCTGGCAAATTTTTTTTGAATTATTGTAGAGGTGAGGTCTCACCAAGTTGCCCAGGCTGGTCTCAAACCACTGGTCCCAAAGTGCTGGAATTACAGGCTTGAGTCTCCATGCCCGGCCTCCGTGCTCTTAATTATTTTGTGTAGATCCGAGTTCCTGTCTGCTGTTTTTTTTTCGTGCAGGATTTACTTTAAACATTTCTTGTAGTGCTGGTCTTCTGGAAATGAATTATTTCATCTTTTGTATGTCTGAAAAGTTTTTATTTTATTTCCTTTTTTAAAAAGATATTTTCACTGAGTATAGAATTCTAGGTCAACAATTTTTTCCTTTTAATACTTTAAAGAAAATTCATCACTATCTTTTACATTGTTTCTGACAAGAATTCTGATGTCATTCTTACATACAAAATGTGTCTTTTTTTCCTCTAGGAGGTATCTAGATTTTCTCTTTATCATTGTTTTTGTTTTGTTTTTTGTTTGTTTGAGTGGAGATCTCACTCTGTTGCCCAGGCTGGAGTGCAGTGGCACAATCACAGCTCACCGCAGCCTCAACTTCCTGGGCTCAGGAGATCCTCCACTGCAACCTCCCAAGTAACTGGGGCTACAGGCACACACCACCACGTCTGGCTAATTTTTAAAATATTTGTAGAGACGAGTTCTTGCTATGCTGCCTAGGCTGATCTCCAACTCCTGGTTTCAAGCAATCCTTCTGCCTTGGCCTTCCAAAGTGCTGGGATTACAGGCATGAGTTACCACACCTGGCCTATCATTGGTTCTAAGAAATTTAGTTATAATATGCCTTGGTATAGTTTTCTTTATGTTTCTTCAGTTTGAGGTTTGTTGAGCTGTGTATTTGTAGTTTTCATCAAATTATGAAAATATTCGGCTTCTTCTAGGACTCCAGTTACATGTATATTAAACCACTTGAAATTGTCCCCCAACTCAGTGATGCTCAGTTCTTTTGGGGGGGGGCTTTTTCCCCCATCTGTATATCATTTAGGATAGTTTGTATTGCCATGTCTTCAGGCATACTTAT